CACACTCCGTGATCGACTTAAAAACAGATGCCATCCACCAATGATAATGGAAGTCTACACAGAGGCAGGCAAGACTTTATAAAGTATACAGATTCCCGAGAAAACTTCTGAAATAATATGCAATTCAGGTAACGCAGTCCATGCTTTTGGGATTTGATGCTGAAGTGTGCGAATGTTCCTGGACTCGGATAATTAAAGTCTGACGGTGCGCAGTTTCCATCGGTACAAGGGAATGTTTGCTGCTTGTCCGAAGTCCGGATTCCCGACTTGGGCTCTCGTCCAATAAAGATCCTAAGGATCAAAACGTTTCCCACGACTTTTCTAGTAAACACTGTGGCGATATACCCTTCCACAACAAGCAAACTATCTACTGTTTTCGTGCTCGCTTCAGTCATTTGCTGACTTGATGCCTAAGCGTTGTTGTACTGCCGTCTACTCCACATTCTAGTCGGTTCAAAGTATCTTAGCCGCGTTCATGATAACAGATCAATGCATGATACCTAAATGTGTAAGACCTACGAGTCAGACCTGGAATTTCGCCTTTTATCCGCGCACAGATCGGCCAATGTAAACTGATTTTATTTCACAAAAATACAACAAACCAGCGCAGCCGACGACATGAGCACAACAATGCCGCCTCTTTTTACGACCCAACTCTGAGATGGCAATAGAAAATAGTTTTCATTTAGGTCGTCAGTCTACGCAATAAACGAAAAAATCAACCCAGAAGCACTGTGGTGACCAAGAAAAGGACCTCACCGTTCTCTATTCAGACTGCCCGAGCTTCTTACCTAAGCGACTTTTCGTTCCATCAGCTCCGGAAAGTGACTGCAAAATCGACTAAAAGGACAGAAAATAATTGGGCTAAATGAACCACTTGCACGGAGTAGGCCTCGAAGGTCTCTGACACTCAATAACCCTTGAAAATTATTCTTCAAGTTAGTAGTAAAACATCTGAATGGGTAACTGCTCCCAATCTGAATGACCGTTCCACTGCTGTCATTTCGGCCAAAGTCGAGCACTGGTGGGAATGCTTCAAACACCTTCAACACACCATACCTTTCAACACTGATTTTGTTGCCGAAGCCCTGATCTCCTTTAATGTTCTAATTTATTGAGTGAACGTGCGGGTCATTGTTTCTGTTCTGATGACCGGTGTTCGCCAATCCTCTTGCGTATCTATAAGAAGCGAGATAGGGTAGCGTAAGAGTAGGTCAGACTCTTAAAGGCTTAATTTGATTTCGAGAGGGATATATAAACTTGACTTTGTAAACTTGAAGTGATCTTCTATTTCCTGACTGGAGGCCTTATTAATCCACTGTACTGACAAGAATGTGAACGGTTTTATCAGCGCGGGATTCCCACTCCCGAATTTTGATTGCAAAGTTCTCGGTTCCGGCTGTCTCGGTAGCCACGAGGAGAATTTAGGCACGATTTTTAGGTCTCATCACGGGGTTCTGCCACCTGAGTTTAATAAAGGCTTCCGGTGTCTAAAGCTTTCCAGTTGCTAGAATGAGTAAGTTCTTGTCGTAAAGTTGGAGTTAAGACTTGTGGTATCTGTTGGTCTCAACTTAGCGTTATTAGCTCTCGTCAAGTCCAGCTAGAGCGTACGCACTGCAGCCTCCAAAAACTCGATTTAGTCGTGGGTCACCAGACAGGGGTTGTTTTGTTAACATGATTACATGGAGAAACGGTTTCTTATGGCGCCCAGATTCGAAATTTGGTGGCGGAGAAAGCCATCTTGTATGGCAGGAAACATTCACTGTATCATAATACTTTATGATCCATCAGATTCTATGTGCAGCGCACTTTTTGTATCGGTACTCGGCGACAGTTCGACCGTCGATACCGACTATGTCCACCGTGTGCTCCACAGGGACAGGTACACAGGCGGTGACTGTAAATCGCCTGTTGACGCACTGAAAAACCTGTAGTCAAACTCATAGGTAGGCTTCGTCCTCCGGATCTATTTTTTAATCCGCATGTTTTTTCCAATTGTTTTACTATCTTTAAGTGGTCTGAACAAAGGTAGCCCTGGTTTCCTAGTTCATCATCACATATATAGGAGGTTAAAACCCGCGCCAACTCCCCCTTTACTTCTAATAAGGTGAATTGGGATTTTAACGTGAGTGATTTCAATAAATCCCGGCTCACCCTGAATCGAATTAGGTTTTCACAGGCAAATCACCATCTGTTCGTTAGCCTAACTATTTATAAACCCCTTGTATTTGCGTGCTTTTTGACCATGTTTCAATTCTCATTTCAGTCTGCCACCTTGAACACGCCTCGATCGTCGTTGTCTTTCATGCGCACCGGATGATCCGATTTATTCTTATTCAAAATCGAGCTGGCAAAACCAGGCTGGCCAAGTGGTACATGAATTTGGCCGATGCTGAAAAACAGAAGCTTATCGAAGAGGCGCACGCACTCATTACAGTGCGCGATGTAAAGCATACCAATTTTGTGGAGTTTCGCAACTACAAGATTGTATACCGACGTTATGCGGGCCTCTACTTCTGCATCTGCGTCGATGTGATGGATAACAGTCTTGCCCACCTGGAAGCCATCCACAATTTCGTGGAAGTCTTAAATGAACTGTTTCACAATGTTTGCGAGCTGGATCTAGTGTTCAATTTCTACAAGGTTTACACGGTTGTTGATGAAATGTTCCTTGCCGGTGAAATACGTGAAACAAGTCAGACAAAAGTTTTGAAGCAGCTTATGCTCCTCTCAGCTCTTGAATGACAATATCGATCCATTCCTGTTGTTGTCGTTTTCCTGTGTCTTTGTGATTTACCTCGGCCTAGCTTTCGATCTTTCTCCTAATTCTGTCCTCGTGCCCCTGCATTTGCCTATTATTTCAGTTTTATTATACCTTTACATTTTGAACTTTTTACAACTTTTGAATTGGCAAGTCTCTTAGCCTTAGCTGGACGCCCTGTTTCTCCGTATTGTCCGCGTCACTTATACGGCCTTTTTGTGTCCTTGTTTGCTTGAAGCGTGATCAGTAGGTGTTGACTGTCTGAACAATTTGACCTCGGGGCGTACTTTTAGAACAAGGCTTGAGATTCCAGAATTCGGGCGAAACCTTTATGCTTATCATTTTGGGGGCTGCGGAATACCGAATTACAATAAAAGGGCGTTTTCACTCCCAATTATCTACAACTGTACTTCCTCCTACGGGCTTTACATTGTTTCTTCGGTTAGCGTTCCGCGTATGGCCGCCAAATAGTTCAGTATATTTAGGGTAGTAGGCGATGCCTTTGAAGACCCTATTGAAAACAGTATATCCAACATAAAATATCTTACTATAAAATAGTAAGTAACATATATGCATGTACAAATTTTAGCTGCAGGTATGGTCAATGTGTCCGTGAGAGCATTCAGTGGCTTCTTGCATAATATATCCAACATAAAATATGTTACTATAAAATAGTAAGCAACATATACATATGTACACGTTTTATCTATAGGTTTGTCCAATGCGTGGAGGACTG